TTTTTTTATTTTGTACAAACAAAATAAATATATTGAAAAATATAAAAATAATAAAAAATTATACTTCAGATGTTAATTTAGTATCAAAAACGTAAAATATTTGAGTAGCCCAAGACATAGCCAAAGATTGAAGCGCCACAGCACTGGCGAAAATTTAAATTTGCCGACTGGAATTCTTTCGGATGATTGACGTTTCGGATGATCGACTTTCGGAAAACGACGCTATACTGTATATATATTACTATTTAAAGTAAAAATAGTTTTAATTGTACTTAATTACATTCTTAAAATACAATGTTAAAAGTTGTTGGAGTAATTTCTCGTTTATATACATAATGCGATAACTATAAAAAGTCATTCTAGCGTTACGCTGAAACCCAACTGTAAACATGTGACAAATTGCAAGAATTTCACTAAATAAAATGATATATGTGAATTTGATTATCGATTGATTGGAATAATCGTTCGATTATTCAATATGAATCATTTGAAGGCATCGACCTGTGGTACTAAGGTTCCCATCTGGACTCTAATCCGAATCATTCAAAAATTTTCATAGATGATTCCATCCAGATTTATGGAGGTGATGCAGTGGTCCTTTCGTACTTGAATGGCGAATGATCTCCCACTCATTATAGCAACTGTTATCTTTTTATAAAGTTATTATTCTTATGATTATTTTTATTTCCAAACTGATTTTAACCAGTTCTATAGTAAGGTAACATTCTAATAGACTAGCGGTTCCCAACCATTTTTCATTAGCGTACCCCCGTGGCATTTCTAACATCCCAACGAGCAACGCATGCGCAAATCTCGCACTGCCTGTTTGTAGACTGGCGTCTAATTACAGAACGATTCCGAGCCGTAGTTCTGTTTTTTACCACGAGATGTCGCTAATTCGTGACGTCGAGAAGCTGGACAAGCATAATTCTTGGTGTAAATACACCAGAGTCAGAATGAATTTATTACGAACAAAATTTGCTACCGTTCGTTTGTTGAACGTCAAATTTGTCTTTTGTCTAATGTTCAATGTTTATATTATAAGATGATTATTGTTCATTATTTTTATCAAAACATTTAAAATTATACGGTATATTATAAAAGTTATTCTACAGAATATGTAGACTTTCGTTCTTAAATTCTTTTAATCTCAAGATTTTCCTGCTGAATTTTCAATC